CACACACACACACATATACACACACACACATATATATATATATATATATATATATATATATATATATATATATATATATGTTATCGATAATAGCAGGATAGAATTTTTTACAATAATAGTGGTATATGAATATGTATGATTAAAATTTTTTATTTAAATTACACCGTCAATAATATAGGAATATAATTTTTAGTAATAAAATGACTAAAATATTATAATTCTGTTGGAATTCATAATTAATGCACGATCAAATTAATTTCGAAAAATAAAGATACATTCCAATGAGCAGCATATTTTACTAGTATAATTAATAATTAATGTAGTCCTATTTAAAATTAATAGTAAAATCGTAAACTTGAAAATTATATATCCAAACATATTAATAGCAGCTCATATAGATACAGTTATGTGCATCTGATCAGATATTAGAAACGGTAATTAAATAATGAACCAAATTTTAGTAACAATTTTATTGAAATAAACAAATGAAACTTAAAATATTTATATGATATCATTTTTAATATTTCTGTTTAAAATATTCAGATAGCGAACTTTACGCTGAAATTAACGAAGCTGCTATCATATATTATCATATTTAAGTATTTCATCATCGAAAGATTCGATGGTATGGATAGTTACATTAAATATAAAATGTACTACATTGTATGTTTACTAAATATTATTTTAGAATTGCATTTGATTCATTTAGTTAGCTTAAAAAATGGTAATGATATAACATTAATTATAACACGGCTTTACACTGCTAAAATTAACTATTTAAATAATATTATAGAATATTTAATGTTAATTATGTTTAAATTAAATATTAAATATTAATTTAATTTCTTGATAAATAATAAAATTATAAATTATGAAAAAATAGGAGAAAAAAAAAACATTATGAATTATTTACTTAAAATACAAAATTGATTTACGTTATGGTTTGGTCTAATAGCTTATATCATAGTATTTAAAAGTGATTTTGAATAATTTTTTATATTAGGCACTTTGATCAAGAAAATTTAACTTAATTATAAAGTCATATATAGAATTATTATATTTATGTAATTTTTTATTTTCGTTTTTAATATTTGTCTAATATTGCATATTATAAATTAATAAATTAATTACAAATAAATAAGTAAATCATAAGTATTTAATTATTATTTTTTGTTGATATTATATGTTTTTAATTATGTAAACTTTTTTAATTGATGTGAATTTATGAAAGTAATTTATAGACAATAGTTTCGAATTGTTATGCAAAATAAGAAATATTATATAAGCTATTCGAGTACTTATTAATTATATAATTCAATTCAATCAACGTACTGTTTGATCAAAAGCTATTAAAACATAAATACACAAAACAAGAGAGAAATAGTAAATGGAAATAGAAACATTTTTTTTTAGAAATAAAAATAGATGATTATGATAGAACTATTAAAACTATTGTTATTTTTAATGTTTAGTAGTAAAATATTTCTGTTTATTAGTTAATACTTTATAATCGTCCTTAAGGACGTTCTTATAATATTTTTATATCTATATAAAAAAAACCCATATATTATTATAAATAATATAAAAGTAAAATTCAATTTTCTATTCTTCTTCTAACCATCTACTTTCTATTATTCTTCAATATTTAATTCAATTTTTATACATTTTCTATGAAAAATTTCAGAAAAATAATCATTATTAACAGACTAATTTTTCTTTTCTTTTTATTATCATACGAGAATATTCTAGTAAACATTAAATATAATAGGCAATTTATAATATTGATGACATTAGTAACGAAAATAAAACGAAAATTCATTGATTCTAAATTCCCATTAGGATATAAAAAATAAATTAATTTTGTATTAAAAAATGCTACATATCGGAGTCAAAGAAGCAATATTATCGTCCTGCGTCAATGATTACTTTGAATATGAATAATGAAAGGCGATGTGAAAAAAAATGTGTATGGTTTTTTTGAAAAAAAATTTTCAATTGATCATGAGAACATATATGTGTTTATGTTGGCAAATAATCGTACACATTAATCTTTTGGTCCTATTTCCTCGTAAATATACGTTTTAGAAAGGTGCGTTAGTACAATCTCTGTTTTTCGTCTTTCTCTTAACTAGCGGATGCTGTGCGCCAAGTCACACGATATTGAGGAGGCATTCCATTCACTCTTCTATACCTTCACTTTTAAGGAAAACATTTATAATTTCATTTTCTCCTTCCCTTTCTATTTCCTCATGTCCGTATCTTTATTTGCATCAGAATTTTGCCGCGACAAACAAATTTTGTTTTTTTAATTTTTTCAGTTTTTAATTTTTGAAAAATAGAAAAATAACTTTTTTCCTAAGAAAATTTCAATAGGTATTTAAGCGAGCATATGGCCGATTTTAATTATAGTAATATCGAAATATATATTAAATGTTTCATAAAATA